CCATGAAGATTGGGTCCCCTGGTTGCGGTCTGTACACTCCCGGCCCATGAAGACGGGGCCCCCCTGGTGCGGTCTGTACACTCCCGGCCCATGAAGACGGGGCCCCCCTGGTGCGGTCTGTACACTCCCGGCCCATGAAGACGGGGCCCCCCTGGTGCGGTCTGTACCCTGCCGGCCCATGGAGACGGGGCCCCCCTGGTGCGGTCTGTACACTCCCGGCCCATGGAGACGGGGCCCCCCTGGTGCGGTCTGTACACTCCCGGCCCATGGAGACGGGGCCCCCCTGGTGCGGTCTGTACACTCCCGGCCCATGGAGACGGGCCCCCCTGGTGCGTTCTGTACACTCCCGGCCCATGGAGACGGGGCCCCCCTGGTGCGGTCTGTACACTCCCGGCCCATGGAGACGGGGCCCCCCTGGTGCGGTCTGTACACTCCGGCCCATGGAGACGGGGCCCCCCTGGTGCGGTCTGTACACTCCCGGCCCATGGAGACGGAGCCCCCCCTGGTGCGGTCTGTACACTCCCGGCCCATGGAGACGGGGCCCCCCTGGTGCGGTCTGTACACTCCCGGCCCATGGAGACGGGGCCCCCCTGGTGCGGTCTGTACACTCCCGGCCCATGGAGACGGGGCCCCCATAGGCGAATCCTGCTCAATTTCACTATTTACAAGCCAACCACGCCATTACAGCTCAGTCAGACGTTGCCCCCGTGGTCACTGACCAAACCCACTTCTACAGCAGTTCACACTTTCATAACACAGGAAAGGTGAGATTCCTTCCTTGTATGTTCCCTCATACAGACTCCAAGTCTCATCCCCTGCCTGTAAGACACCTCAGTCCTCACACCCGGAACATGTTCCTGACGAGGAATAGTCTGCAATACTTTGTAATATATCAGCAGATTCTCTATCTCCCTCTCACAATCGTAGTTATAATTCACCGTACTTCTCGTACCCCACAAATATTATTTGTATGACACGGGATCCCCCCTATGGCAGCCTTGTGAGGTGGAGGCACATTACTGCAGATGCTGTGGAAATGCCCCAATCGGTGCCTTCCCGGACTGGGGCGATATCCCTGATCGCCAACATGGTTTTCCTCTCACCCTCCCTTCCTGGACTGGGGTGATATCCCTGATCGCCGACATGGTTTCCTCTCACCCTCCCTTCCTGGACTGGGGTGATATCCCCGATCGCCGACACGTTTTCCTCTCGCCCTCCCTTCCTGGACTGGGGTGATATCCCTGATCGCCGACACGGTTTCCTCTCGCCCTTCCTTCCTGGACTGGGGTGATATCCCTGATCGCCGACACGGTTTCCTCTCGCCCTTCCTTCCCGGACTGGGCTGATATCCCCGATCGCCGACACGGTTTCCTCTCGCCCTCCTTTCCCGGACTGGGGTGATATCCCCGATCGCCGACACGGTTTCCTCTCACCCTCCCTTCCCGGACTGGGGTGATATCCCCGATCGCCGACACGTTTTCCTCTCCCCCCTCCCTTCCCGGACTGGGGTGACATCCCCGATCGCCGACACGTTTTCCTCTCCCCCCTCCCTTCCCGGACTGGGGGGACATCCCCGATCGCCGACACGTTTTTCCTCTCGCCCTCCCTTCCCGGACTGGGGGGACATCCCCGATCGCCGACACGTTTTCCTCTCGCCCCTCCCTTCCCGGACTGGGGGGACATCCCCGATCGCCGACACGTTTTCCTCTCGCCCTCCCTTCCCGGACTGGGGGGACATCCCCGATCGCCGACACGTTTTCCTCTCGCCCTCCCTTCCCGGACTGGGGGGACATCCCCGATCGCCGACACGTTTTCCTCTCGCCCTCCCTTCCCGGACTGGGGGGACATCCCCGATCGCCGACACGTTTTCCTCTCGCCCTCCCTTCCTGGACTGGGGGGACATCCCCGATCGCCGACACGTTTTCCTCTCGCCCTCCCTTCCTGGACTGGGGGGACATCCCCGATCGCCGACATTGTTACCTCTCACCCTCCAGCTATATCCTAAGCTGTGTTTACTTGGCTGGTTAGATGAAGAGAACTTTGAAGCTTCAAGATCTTGTCATTCTCCGCTTTCTGTGTATAGTTAGGGACATTATAGCAGCCAATGGTTATCCCCCAATAAAAGCTCATTGGATAAAGGCATTTCAATTGGAGTTCCACCCAAAAGGGTAAGTTCTGCTTTAATGCTTTGTTGCTCCGTTCCTCGTCTAAGGATTGGCACCTTTGGAGAGGGTACCCAATTTTGACAGATACCCGCTTCCTCTTTGGCTGCCATCACCTCAGAAATGGAAGGTGTCCTCCCCATAGTGGGACACGTGACAGGCCCCAGAAGACTGGCGGACCATTCACAAAGCACAGCGCTTCTCGCACATGCTCAGTGGGCACCCGGCTGTGAAGCCACAAGCTGTCAGAGCCAGTTACCCACACTAAAGTTGCCTTAGCTGAGGAGAGAAGATGGCCGGTGTGGACACCGCTGGACCCCGGGACAGGTAAGTGTCTGCATTATAAAACTTAGCAGATACAGTTTTTGTAGCTGCTAACTTGTATTTTTTACTTAACTGGAACTCCAGTTTAATGACACACCATGAAGGGAGACCCCCAATGACACGCCATGAAGGGAGACGCCCAATGACACGCCATGAAGGGAGACGCCCAATGACACGCCATGAAGGGAGAGCCCAATGACACGCCATGAAGGGAGAGCCCAATGACACGCCATGAAGGGAGAGCCCAATGACACGCCATGAAGGGAGACCCCCAATGACACGCCATGAAGGGAGACCCCCAATGACACGCCATGAAGGGAGACCCCCAATGACACGCCATGAAGGGAGAGCCCAATGACACGCCATGAAGGGAGAGCCCAATGACACGCCATGAAGGGAGAGCCCAATGACACGCCATGAAGGGAGACCCCCAATGACACGCCATGAAGGGAGACCCCCAATGACACGCCATGAAGGGAGACCCCCAATGACACGCCATGAAGGGAGACCCCCAATGACACGCCATGAAGGGAGACCCCCAATGACACGCCATGAAGGGAGACCCCCAATGACACGCCATCAAGGGAGACCCCAATGACACGCCATCAAGGGAGAGCCCAATGACACGCCATGAAGGGAGACCCCAATGACACGCCATGAAGGGAGAGCCCAATGACACGCCATGAAGGGAGACCCCCAATGACACACCATGAAGGGAGAGCCCAATGACACACCATCAAGGGAAAGGGTTTTTTTTTTTTTTTCCCAAGTCTGCGGATGTGCAAAAAAACGAAAACTAAGTGTACAAAAAATGCAAGTGTAAAAACACAAAAAAAAGTGCACTTAGGGGTGTGCTTTTGTTCACCCCCGGAAAGGGTAGGACCTGGACCCTGATCCCCGGGACGCAAGGCTCCTGACAGGGACAAAGGGTTTACATTGTCCACCTAGCCAAAAGGCCTGGCGGACCCCGTTCCTTGTGGCTAGCCAAAGCTGACTACCAAGTACTAGGTCAGGGAGCTTTCCCAAAGAGCCCCCCCCCCGCCAAGAACAGGAGAGGAAGGAACCTAATGGCCATGCATCTTCCCCCTACACTTCAGAGCAGGCTTGAGGACCCTCACCCTCCATCCTAATGAGAAAAAAAACACACAAAGGAGGTGACAAAATGGGAAACATCAAATAAGTGGCCCCCTGCCATTGTGCCCTGAGGTCTGCAACAAAACGATTGCCCTGGACTGAGCCAGACCTAAAAGTGTGTGGAAGAGTGAGCGTGTCCCACCCCCATGGGGAACATGGTCTATCACCAGCGTGTCCCACCCCCACGGGGAACATGGTCTATCACCAGCGTGTCCCACCCCCATGGGGAACATGGTCTATCACCAGCGTGTCCCACCCCCATGGGGAACATGGTCTATCACCACAGGTAGTTCTGGTACATTTGTGGAACGTTGAGAGGCTCAGCTAGGTACCCCCAGCCTGGATCCCTTCCACTTGGTTAGAGACATTACTGAGCCTTGTGGTATGATCTTATATCATGTTACCGTGACACAAGGTCCAACATACCACTTCTGACCGCAACATACTTCTTATGTGTGAATTCCAAGACCTGGTCATGTTCATGGTTATTACACGCAGACACCAGATACAGCTTGGTTACCCTTTTCTCTGTCTTTTTCATGTTTATTCTTAGTTTCTGCCTGCTTTTTCTTGTGTATCCAAACATGTATTGTACAACTACTTCAGGTACGTGTATTACTATGTACATGTTACTGCTTCTGTCCTGTGAGACAGTCATTGATGAGAGCTCATGATGCCAAATAGGGATACACATACTCTTTGTGGGGGTAGTGCTGGTTGTTGTAGACCAGTTTTACATGTTTTCTGGATCACCCCATGTTAGTTTTATGAAAATGGAAGCAGTTTGGTTTTTGTACGTGTCCCCCTCCATTCATAGAAAATTAAGTGGTGGTACACATCCCCCCTTTTCATAGAAGAGGTGGAGGAGTCTACATGTCCCCTCCATTCATAGAAAATTAAGTGGTGGTACACATCCCCCCTTTTCATAGAAGAGGTGGAGGAGTCTACATGTCCCCTCCATTCATAGAAAATTAAGTGGTGGTACACATCCCCCCTTTTCATAGAAGAGGTGGAGGAGTCTACGTGTCCCCCTCCATTCATAGAAAATTAAGTGGTGGTACACATCCCCCCTTTTGATAGAAGAGGTGGAGGAGTCTACGTGTCCCCTCCATTCATAGAAAATTAAATGGTGGTACGCATCCCCCCCTTTCATAGAAGAGGTGGAGGAGTCTACGTGTCCCCCTCCATTCATAGAAAAGGCAGTGTCATATATGATTGGGGGGATACATACTGCCACTTCCTTTTCTATGAATGGGGGGACACGTACCAACTTCACCCCTTCTATGACTGGGAGGGGGGGGGGGACACATACTGAGGTGTAAGGGTCCGCATCACCCTGGATGAACAGCCAGCCGCCCTCACGTCTACAGACCTTTATTTCTAGAACAGAGCCAGATCATAGACAGTTACAGCCTGCAGTAAAGCGTCACACATCTCCTCGTTGCGGACCCGCCCTCGGGGCTGGAAGTGTTGGTGGTATTGGTGCAGAAGATCTGGAGTGAAGGCCACGCGGGGTTTGGGTACAATGCTGGCCTCCGCTATGAGTTTTTGTACGGCTTCCACTCCGCTAGTCTTTAAACTTCCCAGCATGATGTCAAAGTGTTTCCCCACCGTTCTCTTGTTCATGGTGAGCACCCGCTGCTCCGCTGTTAATGGAGGGTTCAACAGACAGTACAGCATGGCTTCCACTGTGTGCAAATGTAACACCACGGGAAAGAGAACATTGTTCTGAGTGGAAAGGGCATGCTTTTCCAGGATGTAAAAATCTGCCCGTGGGATGTCAGAGACCACCGAGGAGATCTGTAGACAAGGGGAGAGGGTTAGTCCAATCACACACCAGACTGAGCAAGCTGTACGCCAAAATAAAAGGTCAGAATGCCAACACATCAGGGAGCGGGGCTGAGAACACCTTCACACTGCTCAGCAACCAGTGTTCCCACATTGCCAACAATAAGGATTGAAGGAACAACTGTGAGCAAACGCAGACATCGGAGGATGAATACTGGGCACACATCTAAAATCCCACGGGAACGGCCACCATTCCCATTAAGGTCCGACTGGAATCACCCTTCCTACAGCCAGCAGATCGTTCCCATGCTGCCTGGGATTTGTAGTTCCTCACTAGTGACCATGTTATCACAGAGATTCAGTCACTTACATTTTCCAGATACACTTCCGGCTGGTGTTTTCCCTTCGGGAACTGGAAGCATTCGCGCTGCTGCCACTCTCGAACTGTCATTGTGCAGTCAACGTGAGCCCAGGCCAGCTTTCTCAATCCAAAGACGATGGATACAATACTCTCCGCCTGCTACAAAGACAAAAACTGCCACTTTGTATCAAGAAGTAGGGAAGATGGACAGTCCACATGCTTCTCCACCTACAAGACTCATTGTAATTACCACAAAACCGACACTGACTTCCAGTGGGGATGGGGTACAAATAGCTGATGACCTCTAGTGGTGAGTGTGAAGGATCAAGTACTACATGTGATGTCCTCTAGGGCTGGAGGTGTCGGCACTACAACTGATGCCTTCTAGGGGTGGAAGAACTGGCACTATAGCTGATGACCTCTAGGGGTGAGTGTGAAGGATCTAGCACTACGAAGGATGTCCTCTAGGGGTGGAGGTGTCGGCACTACAACTGATGCCTTCTAGGGGTGGAAGAACTGGCACTATAGCTGATGACCTCTAGGGGTGAGTGTGAAGGATCTAGCACTACGAATGTGATGTCCTCTAGGGGTGGAGGTGTCGGCACTACAACTGATGCCTTCTAGGGGTGGAAGAACAGGCACTATAGCTGATGACCTCTAGGGGTGAGTGTGAAGGATCTAGCACTACATGTGATGTCCTCTAGGGGTGGAGGTGTCGGCACTACACGTGATGTCCTCTAGGGGTGGAAGAACAGGCACATAGCTGATGACCTCTAGGGGTGAGTGTGAAGGATCAAGCACTACAAATGACTGGCATTACAAGTGATGTCCTCTAGGGTGGAAGAACAGCACTATAGCTGACCTCTAGGGGTGAGTGTGAAGGATCAAGCACTACAAATGATGTCCTCTAGGGGTGGAGGTGTCGGCATTACAAGTGATGTCCTCTAGGGGTGGAAGAACAGGCACTATAGCTGATGACCTCTAGGGGTGAGTGTGAAGGATCTAGCACTACAAGTGATGTCCTCTAGGGGTGGAGGTGTCGGCACTACATGTGATATCCTCTAGGGGTGGAAAAACAGGCACTATTGCTGATGACCTCTAGTGGTGAGTGTGAAGGATCTAGCACTACAAGTGATGTCCTCTAGGGGTGGAGGTGTCGGCACTACACGTGATGTCCTCTAGGGGTGGAAGAACAGGCACTATAGCTGATGACCTCTAGTGGTGAGTGTGAAGGATCTAGCACTACAAGTGATGTCCTCTAGGGGTGGAGGTGTCGGCACTACAACTGATATCCTCTAGGGGTGGAAGAACAGGCACTATAGCTGGTGACCTCTAGGGTGAGTGTGAAGGATCTAGCACTACAAGTGATGTCCTCTAGGGGTGGAGGTGTCGGCACTACAAGTGATGTCCTCTAGGGGTGGAAGAACAGGCACTATAGCCGATGACCTCTAGGGGTGAGTGTGAAGGATCAAGCACTACAAATGATGTCCTCTAGGGGTGGAGGTGTCGGCACTACACGTGATGTCCTCTAGGGCTGGAAGAACTGGCACTATAGCCGATGACCTCTAGTGGTGAGTGTGAAGGATCTAGCACTACAAGTGATGTCCTCTAGGGGTGGAGGTGTCGGCACTACAACTGATGCCTTCTAGGGGTGGAAGACCTGGCACTATAGCTTATGACCTCTAGTGGTGAGTGTGAAGGATCTAGCACTACATGTGATGTCCTCTAGGGGTGGAGGTGTCGGCACTACACGTGATGTCCTCTAGGGGTGGAAGAACAGGCACTATAGCTGATGACCTCTAGGGGTGAGTGTGAAGGATCTAGCACTACAAATGATGTCCTCTAGGGGTGGAGGTGTCGGCATTACAAGTGATGTCCTCTAGGGGTGGAAGAACAGGCACTATAGCTGATGACCTCTAGGGGTGAGTGTGAAGGATCAAGCACTACAAATGATGTCCTCTAGGGGTGGAGGTGTCGGCATTACAAGTGATGTCCTCTAGGGGTGGAAGAACAGGCACTATAGCTGATGACCTCTAGGGGTGAGTGTGAAGGATCTAGCACTACAAGTGAACTAGGGTGGAGGTGTCGGCACTACATGTGATATCCTCTAGGGGTGGAAAAACAGGCACTATAGCTGTTGACCTCTAGTGGTGAGTGTGAAGGATCTAGCACTACAAGTGATGTCCTCTAGGGGTGGGGTGTCGGCACTACAACTGATATCCTCTAGGTGGAAGAACAGGCACTATAGCTGGTGACCTCTAGGGGTGAGTGTGAAGGATCTAGCACTACAAGTGATGTCCTCTAGGGGTGGAGGTGTCGGCACTACAAGTGATGTCCTCTAGGGGTGGAAGAACAGGCACTATAGCTGATGACCTCTAGGGGTGAGTGTGAAGGATCAAGCACTACAAATGATGTCCTCTACTAGGTGTCGGCACTACACGTGATGTCCTCTAGGGCTGGAAGGGCACTATAGCCGATGACCTCTAGTGGTGAGTGAAGGATCTAGCACTACAAGTGATGTCCTCTAGGGGTGGAGGTGTCAGCACTACAACTGATGCCTTCTAGGGGGTGGAAGACCTGGCACTATAGCTTATGACCTCTAGTGGTGAGTGTGAAGGATCTAGCACTACATGTGATGTCCTCTAGGGGTGGAGGTGTCGGCACTACACGTGATGTCCTCTAGGGGTGGAAGAACAGGCACTATAGCTGATGACCTCTAGGGGTGAGTGTGAGGATCTAGCACTACAAATGATGTCCTCTAGGGGTGGAGGTGTCGGCACTACAACTGATGCCTTCTAGGGGTGGAAGAACTGGCACTATAGCTGATGACCTCTAGGGGTGGTGTGAAGGATCTAGTACTACAAGTGATGTCCTCTAGGGGTGGAGGTGTTGGCACTATAGCTGATGACCTCTAGGGGTGAGTGTGAAGGATCAAGCACTACAAATGATGTCCTCTAGGGGTGGAGAAGTCGGCACTACAACTGACGCCTTCAAAGGGGTGAGGAGCCGTCGGTACAGCTGATGCTCTCTAGTGGCGATGGCTATATCTCCCCTGTCCTCTTACCTGCAGCCTACAGACAGGGATATCCGGCTTTAGAAATTTGGCCACAATTTTGGGGTCAGTTCTGTCATGGAGGCTCAGCATGGATTGACAAAGTTTGTGGATAAAGGCGGGCTGGAAAGAAAGCTGCTGCAGGGAGGCCAGGTCTGGGAAAGGGCCGTACTGTTCACGGTACTGCACAATGCTGGCCGCTGTCTTTCCCTTCAACTCCTTCACACATTCCAGCTTGCTCTCTGAAGCAGAGTTTAATAAACGCAGGAGGACGTCTCTCTGCTCCAGAGTGTAGGTCTTGTCCAGACTGCTCTTCACATTCTCCTCCAATGAGCTCACTTCCTGTAGAGTGACCTGACGGCCCAGAGAGCAGGAAGAGTGTACTGGCCGCTGCTTTACCCTGGTGAAAGGACATGACCACCTGGTCAGTTGTCTCCCTGGAAGACAGAAAACAGCAGGAGAGTGGCAGGGCTGCATGGATAGGGTATTATGTCAGCATCAAGTGTTCTATGCTGAATGTAAGGTATGTCAGTGCCCGATGCCGTATGGAGAAGGCAGGGTGATGTCAGTGCCCGATGCCGTATGGAGAAGGGCGGGGTGATGTCAGTGCCCGATGCCGTATGGAGAAGGGCGGGGTGATGTCAGTGCCCGATGCCGTATGGAGAAGGGCGGGGTGATGTCAGTGCCCGATGCCGTATGGAGAAGGGCGGGGTGATGTCAGTGCCCGATGCCGTATGGAGAAGGCGGTGTGATGTCAGTGCCCGATGCCGTATGGAGAAGGCGTGATGTCAGTGCCCGATGCCGTATGGAGAAGGCGGGGTGATGTCAGTACTCAATGATGCATAGTAAAGGAAGGATAATGTCAGTGCCCAATGCTGTATGGAGAAGGCGGGGGAATGTCAGTGCCCAATGCCGTATGGAGAAGGAGGGGGGATGTCAGTGCCCAATGCCGTATGGAGAAGGAGGGGGGATGTCAGTGCCCAATGCCGTATGGAGAAGGAGGGGGGATGTCAGTGCCCAATGCCGTATGGAGAAGGAGGGGGGATGTCAGTGCCCAATGCCGTATGGAGAAGGAGGGGGGATGTCAGTGCCCGATGCCGTATGGAGAAGGCGGGGTGATGTCAGTGCCCGATGCCGTATGGAGAAGGCGGGGTGATGTCAGTACTCAATGATGCATAGTAAAGGAAGGATAATGTCAGTGCCCAATGCCATATGGAGAAGGCGGGGGAATGTCCGTGCCCAATACCGTATGGAGAAGGAGGGGGGATGTCAGCGCCTGATGCCGTATGGAGGAGGCGGGGGGATGTCAGCGCCCGATGCCCTATGGAGGAGGCGGGGGGATGTCAGCGCCCGATGCCCTATGGAGGAGGCGGGGGGATGTCAGCGCCCGATGCCCTATGGAGGAGGCGGGGGGATGTCAGCGCCCGATGCCCTATGGAGGAGGCGGGGGATGTCAGCGCCCGATGCCCTATGGAGGAGGCGGGGGGATGTCAGCGCCCGATGCCCTATGGAGGAGGCGGGGGGATGTCAGCGCCCGATGCCCTATGGAGGAGCGGGGGATGTCAGCGCCCGATGCCCTATGGAGGAGGCGGGGGGATGTCAGCGCCCGATGCCCTATGGAGGAGGCGGGGGGATGTCAGCCGATGCCCGATGCCCTATGGAGGAGGCGGGGGATGTCAGCGCCCGATGCCCTATGGAGGAGGCGGGGGGATGTCAGCGCCCGATGCCCTATGGAGGAGGCGGGGGGATGTCAGCGCCCGATGCCCTATGGAGGAGGCGGGGGGATGTCAGCGCCCGATGCCGTATGGAGAGAGGTGATGTCAGCGCCCGATTCCGTATGGAGAAGGCAGGGTGATGTCAGCGTCCGATGCCGTATGGAGGAGAGGTGATGTCAGTGCCCGATGCCGTATGGAGGAGAGGTGATGTCAGTGCCCAATGCCGTATGGAGGAGGCGGGGGGATGTCAGCGCCCGATGCCGTATGGAGGAGAGGTGATGTCAGCGCCCGATTCCGTATGGAGAAGGCAGGGTGATGTCAGCGTCCGATGCCGTATGGAGGAGAGGTGATGTCAGTGCCCAATGCCGTATGGAGGAGAGGTGATGTCAGTGCCCAATGCCGTATGGAGAAGGCGGGGGGATGTCAGCTCCCGATGCCCTATGCAGGAGAGGTGATGTCAGTGCCCGATGCCGTATGGGAGGAGAGGTGATGTCAGTGCCCGATGCCGTATGGAGGAGAGGTGATGTCAGTGCCCGATGCCGTATGGAGAAGGCGGGGGATGTCAGCTCCCGATGCCCTATGGAGGAGAGGTGATGTCAGTGCCCGATGCCGTATGGAGGAGAGGCGATGTCAGCGCCCGATGCCGTATGGGAGAAGGCGGGGGGATGTCAGCTCCCGATGCCCTATGGAGGAGAGGTGATGTCAGTGCCCGATGCCCGTATGGAGGAGAGGTGATGTCAGTGCCCGATGCCGTATGGAGGAGGCGGGGGGATGTCAGCGTACGGTTGCCACTTCATCCCTTTAAGCCTGCACACATATGGTGACACGGGGCCAGGGCCTGATGTAATACAGACAGGGTGCAGAGCTGACTCCCCAGAACCTGGGTAAGTGATATGTGTTGAGGGATGAGGAGGGTACTGTAGGTCGGTGCCTGATGCCGCTGCAGAAGCAGGGTGACCCCACATGGGAGGTGGAGACACTGGGGTGACCCCTTGTCATGTATCTGTGGGGGAGGGGCGATGTGTGGGACATTTCCAGGGTCATACATATCACGGACACGGTGCTGGGCCCGGTGACCCCACCGGTAGGGGCAGACCGACACCACCTGCTCACTGCACGGTCTACCATCCGATTGGTCGACTGTTGTGACGTGTAATAAGGGGAGGAGAGTCATTACCGGTAGCGGTGACGGCGGTGAGAGCTTTCCGGGATACCAGCATGGAGGCGCTGATTGATGACGTCAATGATTGCCGCTACTCCTGAACGTCGTTAGCCCGCCTCTTGTGGGCGGGACTGTGGCGGCAGGACACGCCCTATATAAGGAGCCAAAATGGGCGTGTTTAAAGTGAGGAGCGTGGGGTGTTCGATTGGTTCTCCCCCCAAAGAGGGTGATAGAGACTGGGGGGGCTCAGGGGGCAACGGCAGGAGAGGGCTCCTCCATAGAGGGTGATAGAGTCTGGGGGGGATCAGCCCTCTATCTCTCCGCTCTGCCCCTCTCTTCCTCCCTGCTCTACCCTTCTCTACAGTGCCTTGAGAAAGTTCCCCCCCCCCCAATGTCCCCCAATGTCCCCCGTGTTGTCATGTTACAATGTATTTCCCCCCCCGAAATGTCCCCCATGTTGTCATGTTACAATGTATCCCCCCCCCCCCCCCCGAAATTGTATCCCCCCATGTTGTCATGTTACAATGTATTCCCCCCCCCCCCTGAAATGCCCCCCCCCCATGTTGTCATGTTACAATGTATTCCCCCCCCCCCCCTGAAATGTCCCCCCCGTGTTGTCATGTTACAATGTATTCCCCTCCCCCCCCTGAAATGTCCCCCATGTTGTCATGTTACAATGTATTATCCCCCCCCCCCTGAAATGTCCCCCATGTTGTCATGTTACAATGTATCCCCCCCTCCGAAATGTAACCCCCCATGTTGTCATGTTACAATGTATCCCCCCCCCCCCCCCCCCCCCCCCCCGAAATGTCCCCCCCCCATGTTGTCATGTTACAATGTATCCCCCCCCCCCCCCCGAAATGTCCCCCATGTTGTCATGTTACAATGTATCCCCCCCCCCGAAATGTTCCCCCCATGTTGTCATGTTACAATGTATCCCACCTTGTCCATGTTACAATGTATCCCCCCCCCCCGAAATGTATCCCCCCTTTGTCGTTACAATGTCCCCCATGTTCATTTTATCACCCCCAATGTATGTAATCCCCCCCCCGTGTTGTCATGAAATGTATTTCCCCCTGTGTTGTCATGTTACAATGTATTCCCACCCCCATGTTACAATGTTCCCCCCCCCATGTTGTCATGTTACAATGTATTCCCCCCCCCCCTGTTACAATGTATCCCCCCCGTGTTGTCATGTTACAATGTATTCCCCTTCCCCCCTTTTTTGGGGGTTGTTGTCATGTTACAAATGTCCCCCTCATGTCATGTTACAATGTATTCCCCCCCCCCCCTGTCATGTTACAATGTTCCCCCCCCGTGTTGTCATGTTACAATGTATCCCCCCCCTCCCCCCTGTTACAATGTCCCCCGTGTGTTGTCATGTTACAATGTATCCCCCCCCCCCCCGAAATGTATCCCCCCATCCATTGTCATGTTACAATGTATTCCCCCCCCCGTGTTGTCATGTTACAATGTCCCCCCCCCCCTGTTGTCATGTTACAATGTATCCCCCCCCCCGTGTTGTCATGTTACAATGTATGCACCCCCCCATGTTGTCATGTTACAATGTATCCCCCCCCCCCATGTTTACAATTTCCCCCCGTGTTGTCATGTTACAATGTATCCCCCTCCCCCATGTTACAATGTATCCCCCCCCATGTTGTCATGTTACAATGTATTTCCCCCCCCCCCCAATGTCCCCATGTTGTCATGTTACAATGTATTTCCCCCCCCCTTGACAATGTCCCCCCCCGTTGTCATGTTACAATGTATCCCCCCCCCCCGTGTAAATGTATCCCCCCCATGTTGTCATGTTACAATGTATCCCCCCCCATTCTTTCCCCATGTTACAATGTATCCCCCCCCCCCATGTTGTCATGTTACATGTATGTATTCCCCCCCCCCATGTTACAATGTCCCCCCATGTTGTCATGTTACAATGTATTCCCCCCCCCCGAAATTATAACCCCCCCCATGTTGTCATGTTACAATGTATTCCCCCCCCCCCATGTTACAATGTCCCCCCCCGTGTTGTCATGTTACAATGTATTCCCCCTCCCCCCTGCAATGTATCCCCCCCCCCGTGTTGTCATGTTACAATGTATCCCCCCCCGTGTTGTCATGTTACAATGTATCCCCCCATGTTGTCATGTTACAATGTATTCCCCCTCCCCCCTGTTACAATGTCCCCCTGTTGTCATGTTACAATGTATATCCCCCCCCCCCCCCCCTGCAATGTATCCCCCCCATGTTGTCATGTTACAATGTATTCCCCCCCCCCCCCCCCATGACAATGTCCCCCGTGTTGTCATGTTACAATTTTATTTCCCTCCCCCCCATGAAATGTATCCCCCCCCCCCGTGTTGTCATGTTACAATGTATTCCCCTCCTGTTGTCACTGTTACAATGTATCCCCCTCATGTCATGTTACAATGTATCCCCCCCCCCCATGTTGTCATGTTACAATGTATTCCCCCCCCATGTTGTCATGTTACAATGTATCCCCCCCCCCCGTGTTGTCATGTTACAATGTATCCCCCCCCCCCTGTTGTCATGTTACAATGTATCCCCCCCCGTGTTGTCATGTTACAATGTATCCCACCTCATGTCATGTTACAATGTATCCCCCCCCATGTTGTCATGTTACAATGTATCCCCCCCCCATGTCATGTTACAATGTATCCCCCCCCCATGTTGTCATGTTACAATGTATCCCCCCCCCATGTTGTCATGTTACAATGTATCCCCCCCCCCCATGTTGTCATGTTACAATGTATCCCCCCCCCCATGTTGTCATGTTACAATGTATCCCCCCCCCCATGTTGTCACGTTACAATGTATTGTATTGGGATTGGATGTGATGGACGGACACAAAGTGGCCCATCATTGTGAAGTGGAAGGAAATGAGAAATGGTTTCCAACATTTGTAACCAATAAATCTGTGAGAAGTGTGGGGGACATTTGTATTCAGCCCCTTTACTCTGATCCCCCTAACTACAATCTAGTGGAACCAATTGCCTTCAGAAGTCACCTGATTAGTACATAGAGTCCCCCTGTGTGTCATGTGATCTCAATATAAATCCAGCTGTTCTGTAAACCCCTCAGGAGGTTTGTTAGAGAACATTAGTGACCAATCAGCATCATGAAGGCCAAGGAACACACCAGGCAGGTCAGGGATAAAGTTGTGGAGAAGTGTAAAGCAGGGTTAGGGTATAAAATGATATCCCAAGCTTTGACCATCTCGCGGAGCACTGTGTTCAATCCATCATCCGAACATGGGAGGAGTACGGCACAACTGCCAGCCTACCAAGATGTGGCCCGTCCACCTAAACTGACCGGCCGGGCAAGGAGAGCATTCATCAGAGAAGCAGCCAAGAGGCTCATGGGAACTGTGGAGGAGCTGCAGAGATCCCCAGCTCAGGTGGGAGAATCTGTCCTCAGGACAACTATTAGTCGTCACTCCACAAATCTGCCTTTATGGAAGAGAGACAAGAAGAAGCCATAGGAAAGCCATAAGAAGTCCCGTCTGCAGTTTGTGAGAAGCCATGTGGGGGGGGGACAGCAAACGTGTGGAAGAAGGGGCTCTGGTCAGAGGAGACCAACATGGGACTTTACTGCCTAAAAGGAAAACATTATGTGTGGGGGGAAAACTAACACTGCCCATCCCCCTGAACACACCATCCCCACCGTGAAACATGGTGGTGGCAGAAAACTAACACTGCCCATCACCCTGAACTCATCCATTCCCAATAAATACATTGTAACATGCCTCTCTCTCACCCCCCCTGCTCTCTTCTTCTTCTTCTTCTCCCCCTCTCCTGTCCCCTCTCTGTCTCTCTCCCCATTTTTTTTCCTGTCCCCTCTCTGTCTCCCCCCCCCTGTCCCTTCCTGTCTCCCTCTTCTTTCCTGTCCCCTCCCTCCCCCCCCCCTTTCTTGTCCCCTCTCTCTCTCCCCCCTTTCCTGCCCCTCTCTGTTTCCCCCCCCCTTTCTCTCCCCCTTTTCTCTCTCTCCCCCTCTTTCCCTGTCTTCTCTCTCTCTCCCCCCTTCTTGCCCCTTTCTTTTCCTCCCCCCTTCCCCTCTCTCTCTCTCCCTTCTCCCCCCCTCTCCTTTCTCCCCCTTTTCTCCCCTCTTTCTCCCTTCTCCCTCCCCTCCTCTCTTTCCTCCCCCCTTTCCTTTCTTGTCCCCCTTTTTTTTCCTTCTTTCTCCCTCTCCCCCCCCCTTCCCTTTTCTCTCTCTCTTCCCTCTTTTTTCCCCCTTTCTCTTTCCTTTCTCTCCTTCCCTTTCTCTTCCCCTCTCTCCTTTTTCTTCCCCTTTCCCTTTTCCCTCCCTTTTCTTTCTCTTTTTTTTCTTTTTTTCCTCTCCTTTTCTCTCTCCTTTTCTTCTCCCCTTTCTCTTTTTCCCTTTTTTCTTTCTCTTCCCCCCCTTTTTATTTTTCCCCCTCCTTTTCTCTTTTTTCCTCCTTTTTCCCCCCCCTTTCTCTCCTCCTTTTTTTCTGTTTCCTTTCTTCTCTTCTCCCCTTTCCCCCTTTTTTTTCTCTCTTTCCCCTTTCTTTTTGTCCTCTTTTTCTTTCTCTTCTCCTTTTTTTCTTTTTTTCTCTTCTCTTTCCTTTCTCTCCCCTCTCTTTTTTTCTTTCTTTTCCTCTTCCTTCTTCTTCTTTCCCCCCTTCTTTCCCTTTTTCTCTCTTTTCCCCTTTCTTTTCCCTTTCCTCCTTCTCTCCTTCTCTTTCCTTTTTCCTTTTTTCTTCTTCTCTTTTTCCTCTCTTCTTTCTTCTTCTCTTCTTCCTTTTCTTCTTCTTTCCTTTTCTTTTTTCTTTTTTTTCTTCCTTCCTTTCTCTCTTTTTTCTTCCCCTTTCTTCCCTTCTCTTTTCCTTCTCCCCTTTTTTTTTTTTTCTTTTTCTTCTTCTTTTCCTTTCCTTTTCTTTCTTCTTCTTTTTTTTCTGTCTTTTCTTTCTTCCTCTTTCTTTTCTCTTTTCTCTTCCTCTTCTTTTTTTTTTCTCTTTCTTTCTCTCTTTCTCTTTTTTCTTTCCTTTCCTTCCTTTCTTTTTTTTCTCCCTCTCTTCCCCCTTTCTT